TCGGTAGAACAGTATGCCCGGCGGGGGCACCCACTGCCCGAGGAGGTACCCACTGCTCTGCTTCCGGTTCCTTCCTGCAACTCTGTGGGCAAAGCCATAGCGCCTCCTTCTCCACTCCCTCTCTCAGACGAGGCAAGAGCAGGCCTCCGAAGGTTTTCCTTTCCCCTCCTGCTGGAGGAAGGACGCTGTGGCTCCCTGGGGACTGGTCTGTAACTGGCCGCCTGTCCTTACTGTGGTCCCCTGCACGGCCACGGGGTGAGGCAGGGATCTGCAGACCCAAGACCTGGCGTGAACCCTTTGGGGGACGCTGGAAGGCCCCCTCTCCTGAACCAGGACCTCACCTTGCCAAGGGCTGGACTCATTCAACGCTTCCCCTGAGATGCTTCTTGCCAGCCCCCCTCTGACTCAAGCGGCCTCAGAGCCAGTGTGATGACAACCTCAACAGGGCCCCAGCAAGGCCCTTCTCATGGCTCTGTGGGGGAAGAGACGGGGAGGAAACCAGCTGGTCGGGGCACGGTCCCATGAAGCAGTTGGTCACAGGGCTGTGGGCTGGCAGAGAAAGAGACTTACCCACGGGGCAAGCCTGGGTCGCGGTCCTGCTCTCCCAGCAACCAGCTCATCCCCTTAGCTCTGGCCAGCCCTCGGGACTCGTACACCCCCGGGGCCAGGTTCTCAGGAAGACTCATCCAAAAATGGACATTCAGCCTGGCTGGTATAGCTCCATGGATTGAGCTCGGGCTGTGAACCAAAGGATCGCTGGTTCGATTCCCAGTCAGGGCACATGCCTGGGTTGCAGGCCAGGTCCCCAATGGGGGACGTGTGAGAGGCAACCACACATTGATGCTTCTTTCCCTCTTTCTCCTTCCCTCTTCCCCTCTCTCTAAAAAAATAATAATGATAAAATAAATAAAATCTTTAAAAAAAAGGACATTCAGCCCTGGCTGGTGTGGGTGTGGATCAGTGGATAGCATGCTGGCCTGCAAGTCAAAGGGTGGCCGGTTCAATTCCCAGTCTAGGGCACTTGCCTGGGTTGCGGGCCATGTCCCCAGTAGGGGGCGCGCAAGAGGCACCCACACATTGGTGTTTCTCTCCCTCTCTTTCTGCCTCTCTTCCCCTCTCTAAAAATAAATAAATAAAATCTTTAAATAGACATTCAAATGCTTTGAACAAGACAAACACATGTGTGCAAGCTGAGGACACACCTACAGATCATAATGAAGTGCCTTCTGGTGAGTAAATGCCACAGGAGAGTGGGAAGGAGAGAGCGGGCCCCGCAGTCTGGCATGAACTACACACACAGGCCATGAAGATGTTCGGTCGCTCCAGAGAGCTGGCCGATGGGATGGGGGCGGGAGCAGGGTGCTGAGGGACCCAGCGAGCCAAGGTGCGGAGGCCCCACTGTGGGCGGTCTGAGGGCAGACAGTTGGCCTGAGGCAGCGGGGAGATCAGACCGTAAACACAGGTCTGGCCTCCAGTGTTAGGTCTACCACTTGGCAGTTGCTTGCCTTGGACAAGCGCAGGGAGCCTGAGTCTCAGTGCCCTCGACATGCAACGTTGACAGCAACACCTGCGATGACCGGGGTGAAGATCGTGCTAGAGCCAGGCCATGGTTCTGCGATGCGCTAGCTGCCTGACCCGCCGAGAAAACCCTGACCCTCAGGTTTGTCGTCCTCAGAGAGGGGTCGCACCTCCTCTGAAGGACGGCGCTAAGGTTAGGCGTGCTGCTGCGAACTGCACGGCGGCCCACAGGAAGCGCCCGGGGACTGGGATGCGCCAGGTCCTCCCCCCTGGGGAAGTGGGGCTCTGGGACGTTTTCTGAGCAGAGAGGAAGGGTCCCAGCTAAGCCCTCCCCCCTCTCCCGCTCTGACCAAGGAACGACCTTTCCGAGTGCTCCGGGCACCCGGGAGGGAGGGCCCACTGGGGAGCACAGCCTCCCTCTCCCCCTCAACAAGCTAGCCAGTGAACCTGAGTTAACCAGGCCGGCCACGGCCCTGCGGGGTGGACTTTCATCCCTGAACCGAAATGACCGATTTAATGGCTGTGACTCAGGCAGGAAAGGGACTCTCCTCTGGCAGCCGGGGATGGATGGTCAATCTCATTTCTTTGTTGGAAAGAAAAAGAAATACCTCCAGTGGATTTATTTCCTTGCAGGCACACTGAGTAACGGAGCCGGGACATCCTCCTCAAGCCACAAGCCTCTGAGCTCCCCAGGGCACCTCCGCCAGTGCCCGGGAAGGTCAACGATTGCACTCAAGCCGCCAGGGCCACTGGGCCTGGGCACCTAGGTGAGGAGAGGGGGTGGGGTGCGGTGGGCTCCACAGGCCCCAGGGGACCCAGAGCCTGCCCCACCCCCCCTCCATCCCGTGGGCAGTCCTCAGAGAGCTACCTGAGCTTGGTCCCACGGACCCCCAGTGTGGGACCTCTCCTTGTACCCATGTGGTCAGGGCTGCAACACAGCACGAGCAGGGACCCTGAACCGAGGACAGAGATACCGCCATCGCATGCCCTTTCTGCTGGGCTGAGCGGCCGGCGAGGGCCTTCACTGTCCGTGGCCTGTTTTCTTCCCCCACATGATGGGATGGTGCCTCCCCCGAGCATCGGTTAGGTTGACGCGAGGACCATGGGTTAATTAATGTCGTTGTCCTGACACCTTACGGATAACCAGGAATGACCAAATCACTTAAGTGCCTCCTCTCTCGGGTAGATAATCTCAGTCCTTGCCGCCCAAATTCAAATCCCGTCTCTCTGCTGTACGTTTTTAAGTCCATAGCCTGTGGAGCGTGAAGCCTTATAAAAGGACAGGCACTTCCCTTGCCCTCTGGATGCAAACAGTCGCCACACCAGATATCTGGCTGTGTCTCTGTTTGCCTACTGTCCTCCCCCTCCCCACCCCCACCTGCCGCGTGGTCCTCCTGTCCTGTCAGCAAAAGCTGGGGCATCGGCCAAGCCCGCAGGGGAAGCGAGTGTGTCCTGGAATCCAGGGGCTCGGCTTCCGAAGCGGCCACCCGCTTCCTGCCCGCGGGCACGGCTGAGCCTCCCTGCCCAGCCTCTGTCCTGGTCCCAGAGGAGCCCCGGGCTTCTCCAAGGTGGTGGGTGGGGCCTCTGCCTGCGCACACGGCATCTCAGGAGAGAGCCTGACCTCCCTCTTCCCCCTCAGGTGTGAGCTGGGTGCTGAGCAGGTGCCTGACGCAGAGCAGGCGCACGTCTGGTAACTGGGGTGACTGGGAATGAGGGAACGAGTGAGTCAGCATGCCCAAGCTCGCACAAACCATTGTCCCCTGGGGATCCGGTTGTCCTCCGGACGGGAAATCTACAGACTGGAAGGCTCCTCCTCTCCTTCCTTGGGCCAGCCATGTGGGCACACTTCTCCAGGACCAGCCTCCCATCGCTTTTCCCTGGAGTTTCCAACCACCCGCCCCCCCACCCAGGGGCTCAGGCTTGTGCAGTGGCGCCCCACGTGGCACAGAAGTCAGTCTGACAACTCTCTGCCTGGTCTGACGCAAACACGAAGTAGAGGAGGAACATTCTGGTTTTCTCTTTCTTCGTTCCTCGTCTTCCTGGCTGCCATTGATTGGGTGAGTCACTTGCTCATTGATTCCAGCAGCTGCAGAGCACCGGGCCCTGGTAGGTGTGAGTGCGCAAAGGGACCATGTGAACTGTGCCCGGAGGACCGTGCAGCCAGGAGGGAGGGAGTACAGGCAGGCCTGGCAGCCCAGGGAAGCAAAGAGGAGGGACCCCCTCCCGAGGGTGTGGGGGCTGGAGATGAAGCTTGAGCTGAGTGGGGTGGGCCTGAGCCAGCAAATGAATGGGGGACGGGGGGGGGGGGGGAGGTGGGAGGTCAGGGAAGGAAGGCTTGTGTCTGGGAGCCATCTGGAAAACAGAGTTACTTTAAGAGGAAACCAGGAATGACCCACTCTTCTCCGAGGTGTTAATTGTTAATTAAGGGAAAGTGTGAGCGGCTAACAGCTTTGGAGGTGTGTCCCGTCCTTTTGAGGACTGCACTGGTTTTCACGCCCCAGCTGCCTGGGAAGAGTGTGGCTTTGGAATCGAGCTGAACCCGGGTTCCAAATCTGACAGCCACTCATTACCTATGACCTCGAGCAAGCCGCTAGGTTTCTGGAAACGTCGCTTTCAGTAAAGTGGAGACGACCGTCTCCACCCGTTCCCTGTTTTGGTTATGCATGGTCAACAGAGGTTTGAGAATACAAAATGGAAGTTTCCAGAAATAAATGCTTCATGAGTTTTAAATTGCACACCTTTCTGAGTAGCGTGATGAAATCTCATGCCATGCTGCCCGGGACGCGGGTCCTTCCGTTGTGCGGTGTCTCCACATTGCACACGCCCCCACCCGTTAGCTGCTCAGCAGCCACGCCGGTTACCATGGGGACCGTCGAGGGATCGCGGTGCTTGTGTTCTTGTGACCCTACTTTCCTTCACGATGGCCCAATGCCATCCGCATGACTCTTATTACAACATATTGCTATAATTGTTCTGTTTAATTATTAGTTCCTGTTATCTCTAACTGAGCCGACTTCATACGCTAAGCCTGTAAGTATTCACCATGTACATATAGAAAAAAACTTTGTACGCATGGGTTTGGTATTATCCTCGGTTTCAGCTGTCCCGTGGAGCTCTCGGGCCATACCTCCCGTGGAGAAGGGGACTACTGTACATACAGCGGACTGTTTTTTAGCGTCAGGAAAGGAGGAAGTTCTGCCACATGCTACAATGTGAAGGAGCTTGGAGGACAGTATGCTAAGCCAGTCACAAAAGGGCACATACTGCGTGGTTCCACCGACAGGAGGCACAGGAAGGGGAAGGTGGCTGGCGGGGGGGGGGGGGGGGACGGAGGGAGGGGAGGCCCGGAGCTGTTGGCGGACAGGCTCAGTGTTTCACTCTCACAAGCTGAAAAGAGTTACAAGGATAAATGGCGGGATGGTCATACAACACTCTCAATGTGCTCAGCACCCTGGAACGGTGCATTTTATGTAGATTTCACCACAATAAAAAATATGTGCTTTTATTCTCCTTCTCCAGCAGCAAAGCCTCTGTGAACATTTCTTTTGTGTGTGAGGACAGTGGACAGGGCAGGCTTGGTGTGACACTTCTGAAAGGTCACCACTCTGCATTTGCTGCCTGACTGCCGGCGGGCCCCGCCCAGACCCCAGGGCGGGGTTGCCGAGTCCCTGTCGGGGTGAGGCCACAGAGTCCGGGCCTCAGGCTCCTGGAGGAAACTGGATTCGGCTGGAGCTGCGCAGAGAGTGGATTAGCATTCACCGAGCTTCCCCTGTGAGCCCCAGCGAAGCGCTCAGCTGGTGCCAGGCATACAAATGACACGTTTAGGCCCTCCAGGAATTCGCAATCAACCTCCGCCCCTACCTGCCGGTGGCCCCTCCCACTGTGGAGACGGAGAGCGGGGGTCAGGGGAGGAGACAGTGTTTTGCAGTTGTCTGCCTGGATGCAGGCTCCTGAGACTGTCCAGACCCCCTCCTGAGCCCAGCCCTGCCTCTGAGCTCCACCACGAAGGTGCTCCTGTACCCAGACCGGCGTGGGCAGTCAGCGTGGCCTGTTGGGACCTCACAGTGCAGTGGGCGGCGAGAGCCCAGGCCAGGGGGACAGCTGGGGCAGAGAGACCTATCTGGGTGCCCTGCTTCCAGCAGCATCCTGGGGGGAGCTAGGAGGACCCCCCCTTTGAGCTGACTGAAGGGACTTGCTTTGGCTAACATCCCTTCAGGGTCCCCCAAAAACAGAGAATCTTCATGGGGACCACCCAGATAGTTCGGGGTCCTGAAAAGAGGGTCTCCTCTTTCCTGTCGTGCATGCCCCGACCCCGGGCATATGGCAGAAAAGTATCTCGCCACACACTGTGGTTGGAAGTTTAAACATAAGGTCCCACCACCAAGCAGGCGCTTTCATTCCTTCAACATTTACCCAGCCTCTGTTTCATCCAGGTGTGTCAATAATTCGATGTCCGTTCTCATCCTGGACAGGAGACAGAGACCTGTCCAAGCAGAACTTCCAAGAGGTTGAAAGCATGCGTCTCATACAAATACAGAGTGACCACGTGGCAAAGATGTTCCTGAGCGCGTCCATTAACGAGAGAACCGATGCGATGACACAGCTGGCTGGGAGCGCCCTCCAGGAGCTAGGGTGTAAAAGAAGGGCACAGCGAAACGTTTTTGGTGAAGTTGGAGACAGATCTGGCATATGTATGACACAACTGGGGTGACCTCTCCTACCGGACAGAAACCATCTGGATCTCTGCCAGATGAGAACCTCCAAGTCCGCGGGTAGCTCTGCGGTCTGAGCCCCTCCTTACTAACAGCGAAGGGCAGAGGGGAACAACGAAACCGTCCTCTGGCGCTGTCCAGTAGATAGGTAACCATGCTTGTAAAATTTGAATTTTCCTGGCAGCCTCATTAAAAAGGAAACACGAACAGGTGAAATTTATTTCGACAGGATGTTTTATGTAACCCAACCTGTCCAAATATTGTCCAAGTGCTCAGTAGCCGTGTGGTTACAGCGCGGTTCTAGAGAGTTCACTAACCTTCGTGCGGGTCTGTTACGCAAAGCTTCACTAAGACTCCGAAGGCAGAGAATGACACAGGCATTCTCTTGGCCTTATCTAAAGCTCAGGTAATTTTTCCTAGCACAGCTACCCAGGTCTCTATGACCCCGTTGGCAGGGGGTCAGGACAGATGAGTCCAAGCTGAGGGCCCCAGTAACAGGGTCTGTGCCAGGCGGTCGGGTGAACACCTAGCACAACAGACGCCCCTGGGCAGGGGCATCAACGACACAGAATTCTGCTGGCGGAAGGGGGTGGGTCGGAGAAGACGTCATGGAGGACGAGCGGGCTTCACTCCGGGCAAAGGGAAGGGTGGGCGTGCTCGGGCGTGTGGAGAGGGAGGGACGGGGGCCCAGGCCTGAGAGCCCAGCTGGGACCGGACGGGCGAGGGTCTTGGGGAGTCACACAGAGGCATCATCACCCAAGAGGGAGCCATAAAGGGCTTGCAGAAAAGGAAGGGCGTGACCAGGCCTGTCCTTCAAGGAGCCTTGGCCTTGGGGCTTGCCGGCGGGGCCTTCCAGGTTCCTACCCTCCAGCCGCCCGGTTGTGAATGGGGATGAGGCTGGCGTCATGGCTGGCAGCTAAAAATATTCTCCGCACCTCAGGTTACAGCTGGGGCGTCCAAATCCAGAGGGAAGAAAGCAGGGGGGCGGGTGGCCTCTGAGGTCAGGACAGAGTGGAGATGACTTTTATGGGCCGGTGGTTCGGTAGCTGACACCCTGGCAGCCTGGGGGGCGGGCTGGTAAGGGTCAGAGAATGCCCAGCCTGGCGTCAACTCAGGCGCTGGCCTAGGGAGGCAAGAGAGAGCACGTGCTTGGGCCGCTCTGCTCGAGTCACCGGGAGGGACACGAGGGCCGGCCTGGCTCTCTCCGGCCCTTCCCAGCTGAGGAACCTGGCATCCCTGGGGCACTGCCTCAGATGCTGGGCTCGGGCTCCCGCTGCTGCAGGAGGAGGGTCCAACAAGGGCAGGCAGAGCCGGAACAGGCCCGCACAGCACCAAGAACCAAGAGCTCTGGAGTTTTCTGAAACATCCCCTTTCCTTTGTCCCCCACCTCCTCACGGCCGGAAAGGAGGAAGTTGCCAGGCCTTCCTTCCAGGCGACCCTACCCGACAGGCACGGGCAAGCCACTTCGGGTCGCGAGGAAGAGGAGAGACCGAGCCAGGACCGGGAGACTCTGGGACGGCTTTTCCATCCAGGGTCCCTCGGCGGGGGATGGGTGCGTGCATGCGCCCAGGACTGTCCCCAACTTCACAAATGGGGGACTGAGCTCAGCCACGTCAAGCCAATGGCCACAGCCTGCACGGCCAGGCCAGGGGTGGGTGCAAGGCCGGAGTCCCAGCCCCTGACTCCTGTCCACCTCGAGTCCCAAGTCAGAGCTGGTCCGAGCTCTAGAGAATTCCACGATGAAGCAAAAGCTCCAAAGTGAGGAAGACTCCTTGGGCCAGACGGAACAGCAGCCGCCAGGGGCCAAGGGCGCCCGCTGTCTTCACAGCCGGGGCTGGGCCCCCGTCTCACGCCTGGAAATCAGTTCTCCATTCTGGGGCAGGGGTGGGGCTGGGTGCAAAATCCTCGGAGAGTCTGATGGGAGGGCTGGACCCTGTTTCTAGAAGATGCACATCCACGCACACATACACACAACTTCGGCTTGAACTTGACGGGTTCCCTGGGCCCCAAGAGTCAGCGAATTCTCTTTACGACGCAGGAGTCTCCGCGGGGGCCTAGTTGGGGAAAGGGAGAGAAAGCGCTGGGAAGAGGGGAGGGACAGGGTGCTGCGCAGCTGGTGCGGAGGGAGGGAGGCGGCCCGCGCACCTGCCAGGGTGAAGTTCACGGCGTCAAGTCCGGTCATCCAGAGACATGGGGGCCCTGGGGGGCTAAGAGAGGCTGCCCCCCTCCCCCCGCCAGCCAGTCCTGAGCCTTCCGAGAACTGGGTTTTGTTCTAATAAGGGAGGTGGTATCCAGTGACACCACTCAGATTCCTAAACCTCCTTTTGGAGCGCGGATTAAGGTCCCTTTCCCTGAAGTCAGCAGCGTCCACAGTTAGAACCAAAGCCCCGAGTGGTCTTGGTTTCAGAGTCCCCCGAAGCTGCCACCTGCCAAGGATGGGGTGGCGTCAGGCTAGCCCAGCAACCCAGTTAAAAATAACGATTACATAAAGAAAACGTTCTCAGGAAAAACAAGAAAACAAAAAAACCCAGCTAATCTGGGCCGGGCTGGGCCAGGCTGGGCTGGGTGGCATGCCTCCTCCCGTCCCCACCTGCCTCTGCGGTGACAGGACCTATTCCTTCCTTGAACTGCGCCCCCAGTTCTGTTCATCCACGTGCTCGCCCAGCAGACACCCAAACAGAGCGCTTGGGGTTCGCCCCGCTGTTCTATTTCCAGCCTGTTCGGTTCATCCTAGGTCCCACTGCCGGGACCCATCCCTCTTCCTCCCCCTCCTCCCCTCCCAGTCTCTCCCTTCCCGCTTTTTTCCTCCTCCCGCCGGTTTCCCCTCCCACACCTCCAGCTTCCACTCCTGCTTTCTCCCTGCTCTCTCCTCCCCTCTCCTCTCCTCCCCTCCCCATGCTCTCCCCCTCCTCCCCTCCTCCTCTTCCTTATCTCCTGAGATCTCTCTCTCCCCCCCTCCCCCCATGGTGCTTCCTCTCACCTCCCCACCTCCTCGCTCGCCATTCCCAGGGGCTCCCACTTGTGTGTGGGGAACAGACCCGGGGCGGCTCCTGACCCCAGGCCCCCGGGAGAGAGGAGTAGGTGCGACAGAGGCGCCCCCAGCACAGGCGGCGGTAGCCTTGGGCGCCGCAGCCTCTTTGAGGGCTCCCCTCTGACTTCCCACTGCTTTGGGGAGCGGGTACACAGGTGGCACTGCTTCTGAGTCACCGAGAGGGAAGTGGCAGTGCCAGTGAGTCATCTCACGGGCACTCACGTCCCCCGGCCCTGCATCGAGCTGGACACAGCCACCGTCCTGTCACCCCATAGTGAGTGGCCCTAGCGAGGGCATTCTGGAAAAGAGCTTCCAGTACTTTCTGTTGCAGAAGCCAGGCCGGCCCACCCCCACCCCCTGGACCGTTTCTCCAAGTGGAAATGGGGCAGGACGCGCACTGAGCGCGTTCCCCTGCCTGAGTCTGGCTCGCTGCTCCTGGCAAAGTCTGCAGAAGATAAACAATTCCCCCACTTCACAGAGGGAGGGCCCTGCTCAGAGAGGTTAAGTCATTTACCCCATGTCACACGGCTCATGAGCGACAACGCCGGTGGCAGTAAATCAGTAAGAGTGGTGCTGAGGCCCAGCTCCTGCCCGTGGCCGTGGGTGGCCATGGAGCCAGGGGCGGGAGCACAGGGGGCCGGAGCCAGGCTGGCTGGGTTCGGGTCAACACCAGGCTGTGGAATCTACCGCCCGGGAGACGTCTGTCAAGGTCATCCCTGGGCCTTGGTCTCCTCATCTGTACAATGGGAGTGGCTGCAGGAGCCCTGACCTCCTGGGTGTGTTCGGAGGGTTCATCTGCAGAGAGGGCTTAGCACGGTGCCCCGCCCGTCTCCTGCTGCTCGTTCCAAGGCCCCAGCTCTCTGGCTCCAGAGCTCCCCCAAGACCCGTCCACCTGCTTTCTCCTTTGCCCTTCACACCACCCTTGCATAAGAGCAAGAAGCGGATGCCCCCGTCACAGACGTGGAACCTCCAGTCCAGCGGTGTCATGGGACTGGCTCGGTCCCCGTGGGAATGACCCTTCTGGCCTCTCAGGCCACTTAACAGCAGGGTTTCTGCCCAAGAGGGCGAACCCGAGCAGCCACACTGGCGCCTGGAGAGCTCGGGAGAGCACGAGGCTCCGGAAAGAACACCCCCATGAAGACTGAGGAGGAGGAGGATGGAGACGAAGAACCCAGGACACGAGCCCCTGGGGTCCCAAGTGGACTCCGGTGCCAGTCCAAAGCCATTAGCACCAGGAGAGGGAGCCCAGCCTGGGTCTCAGAGGCTGGGAGGCTGAGGGGAGTTGGGGTAGGCTTGGCTGGCACGCACTGGCCAGGTGGTAGAGGGTTGTTTTGGACAAATTATGAGACCCAGACTTGGGCTGGAGTGGCAGGGATGAATGACAGAAGTCAGCAGCAAGCTGCTACTTCCTTCCTGCCTGCCTTTTCCCTTCCTTCCTCCCTTCACTGTTGAGGTCCTGAACTCTGAGCAGGGGCTGGAGACAGAAGTGTTGCCCCATGGAGCGTCTATAAGTGAGAAAACAAGCAACACACCATCGCTGTGGTAAGTCTAGTGGAGGTGCTGGGAGAGCTTAAAGGAAGAGTCCAGGAAGGCTTCTCAGAGTAGGTGACAGTTGAGTGGGCTTTGAGGCATGAATAAGAGCTTGCCAGACAATGGCCTCAATACTGGAATATCAAAGGGGAACAAAAAAGAGAGGACCTTCTGTCTAGAGGCAACTTCTATTGTACACCCTTTCTGATTTCCCTTTCACACTTTGTTTTCTTTCTTGTTGATGAGGGCCAGGCCAGAACTTCTTGTAGGGCCCTGGACTCTGACTCACACAAGGAAGCCCCTGCTTTCTTTATCCTCTGAACAACAAAGTATGTACTCTGTTTGGAGCTCTCT